AAAACCCACTGCAATGTTGTGAAGTAATTAGCCTCCAACTAATAAAAATAAATGAAAATAAAATAAAATAAAATAAAAAGGCAGTACCTACCAAAAAAAAAATCATTCCTGCTTTTTTTCTCTTTGATCCACTAGTTCATGTGCCTTCTAAGGAATGCCAATTATAAATCAATAAATTACTAAAAACAGAAAGAACAAAAGAATAATCTGATGGCTTGTTGGCATCAGATACAGGAAACACTGGGGTGTACTTTGTGATATATTCTTGAGTGATCACAGGGAAGGACAAGTCTGCACATGGACATGTAAACTAGTGTGACATTTGAGATGGACGCATTTGTATCCTTGAGGGAATGTTTGTCACTATACTTGCACCTACCATCAGAAATGCATGAAAAGAGACTAAGCATTTGGAGAGACTGATACTTGATTTTCTTTCTGGCAGTCAGCAATTTACTGCTAATACCTAAAGTAGGAGAGTAGAAACTAGGGTGGGAGGTCCATGGAAGAGAACTTATTGTAATCCCTTGCTCAAGCTTTAAAGTATTGAAGTCTGCTGATCTTCATTCTGTCCAGGGCCTGTCTGTGAATAATTTTACTAAGGAATTGGGCAGAGTCATCACAGAGCTACAAAAATATCACCCTTGGGGCCTCATTGGAGACTGATGGGAACTCTGGAGAGTAGATAATGGTGATCAAAGGGTCTATATATTTAAAATGCACAAAGGATGAACTCAGAAATTATCTGCCTGCCAACTTAACTTCTTTACCTGGAACAAATTATCCAAAAATCAATTTGCAAACACCTTTGAGATAACAAGGCATTGAGTAATAACCTCCATGGCTTTGTAAAGAAAAGCATCTAGCTTGACTAATCTGCTTAGTTTCCTCCTCTGACCAAATGGCAGGCTATAATAGTAGCAATTTGAACTTGTCCCTGAAGATCTGCTTCAAGTCACACTGCGAAAATGTTGTCCATCTTTGCTTCATAGTGATTGTTCTCTTTCTGGAGAATTTTCATTGCTAGATAATTAGAAAGAAAACACTGAATAAGACCTATGTTCCCAAAGCTCCCACCTGAGTTCCAAACTGAAAGTGATACCTGCCTTAATAGCCCAGAGGCCCTCCAAAAGTTCTTGAACATAGCTTTGGTGTACTCCATCCCAAATGCCTTCCCCACCCTTACTTCCTAGTTCTACACCAGGAATCACTAACTTATTCATACCCTTGGACAGATAATCCACTTCCTGAAAGTTGGTCCTAAGAAAATATAAGACAAGAAGGACTGGAATCATTTGCACCAAGATGTTTGTTGCAGCATTATTTACCTTCGCAAAACTTGAAACTACTCATGTGCCCAGTAATCAGAGCATAATTACTGTAATTATCTGATGCACTGTTCTATCACTACTAAAGACAGTGGTGGTAAAATCCACAGAGTATATAAACAAAGTCCTTTAGTTGTAATAAATGAGGGAAGAAAACAAAATCTTCTTTGAATCTATGTGTTACTGTAACTACACACAAAAATGACTTAAGTACATGAATAGAAATTGGAATGGAACATGAAGATATAAAATTGACAGTTATATTGGGTGGTAAGGAGAGGGATTGTTTTCTCTTTCTGATCTCTTCTTTATTGTTGTTCCACTGCTGATTTTTGCTACAAATAAAAACAAATATACCCACACTGGTTTGTCGACAGAGGGTATCGAGAGATAAACAGCCTTCCAAAGGGAGAGCTTGGTGTTGGAAGGCAAGCTGATCTGGGTTCCCTTTTGCCTTACCTGCTCCACTCTCTTGGTTAAGTGATATGATCACCTGAGATATGATCTCAGGTTTTTAATCCACCAAAATGGAGGTGCTAATATCCCAAGAATGACACTAATAATGCAAATGAAATTTTCTGGTAAATAAGTATAAAGCAATTGTTAATTTCTGCAGCTTTGCCAGTGAGCTAAAAATTGCCAGGGAGAGGCCACCGTTAGTGCCTGTTGAAATTCTAGTCTATTTAGCTGAAGTTATAGAACTTAGTAGAAGAAAGGTGGCAACGCATAGGAGATCCAAAATAGCTCAGCATGACTTTTCCCTTGACCCTTGATTTCCCACTGGCATCACTGTGATCATGACCCTCTCTCTGTGGAGGAAGTTGTTAGGGCTGTGGAAGAAGAAGTTGAACTCCCATTATGCTATCATCCTTTTGCTAATTCAGCTCCTATCACCATTCCACAGATCATCCACTAACAATCTATGTGTTCCTATAAAAGAAGTGTTTGTAAACCCCTGACTCCCATGGATTTTGAACCAAACTCCAATTTAGTAAAGGGTGGTTCTCATTTGAGAATAGAAAACAGAATATTAACCCAGGCAGCTTTGCTGTGTTCAGGAAAAATCTTTTCCTCACAATGACCTTCTTTCCTTTCTTTAAATGAAAGAGTTTTGATGAAAGTGTTAGTCATTCAGTTGTGTCCAACTCTTTGTGAGCCCATAGACTGTAGCCCACCAGGCTCCTCTGTCCATGGAATTCTCCAGGCAGAAATACTGGAGTGGGTTGCCATTCCCTTCTCCAGGGAATCTTCCCAACCCAGGGATCGAACCTGGGTCTCCTGAATTGCAGGCAGATTCTTTATCATCTGAGCCACCAGAGAAGATTGATTAAAGAAGAAGTATTGATTCAGGTATTTACATATAATTATTTAATTAACTGAGTTGATTTTGGGTTATTGTCTATGGCTGTATGGAATTCTGTCCTTTGTCCTCACATGTTTGCAGTCCGTTCTGTAATCCATTTGGGTCTGACATCCTTTGCTGATTCCTGTCTTTCAGAGCCTCCCACACCCATCGCCCCTCCAGAGCTGCTGGCCGTGGGGGCCACCTACCTGTGGATTAAGCCAAACGCCAACTCCATCATTGGAGATGGCCCCATCATCCTGAAGGAGGTGGAGTACCGCACCACCACAGGCACCTGGGCGGAGACCCACATCGTTGACTCTCCCAACTACAAACTGTGGCATCTGGACCCCGATGTGGAGTATGAGATCCGAGTGCTGCTCACGCGACCAGGAGAAGGGGGCACGGGCCCACCAGGGCCTCCCCTCACCACCAGAACCAAGTGTGCAGGTAGGACCCTTCTTCCTGACTCTATTTTGAGATGTTGTGCAGTTGCTGTGAGTGATGCTCCTCTTGAAGTTGTGATAGTCATTCCTCAACTTCTTTGATATGAGTGTGCATCCTGTTGGGGTAAAAAACATTATTTGGTCTTGGCTTTGAGGTTCTGGAGGCATCTCTGGGGCCCTCCTGGCTTCACCTGTGAGTCTAAGAATCACCTAACTCTAGCTTTAGTCTAGCCTCTCTAGTCCTGGAGAGTTTCCTGGATTGGACAGTATTTCCTGGGACACTGGTTCTTTCTCCCCAAATACTCCTGGGACCTTTGGAGTATGTGAGGCTTCCTACTGCTGACAGCACCTCTGAGGACTCATGGTTCTGTCTTTGAGGGGTCCTGATCTTGTTTCTTTGAGGGCACCTGGCTGTGTCCCTGAAGGGTCCAGCTCCGATTGCATCTCTGGAGGCTCCTGGCTCTGACTATGTGACCTGAGGCTTCACTTGATCTGTGTCTCTGAGTGCTTCTGATTCATCTTGCATATCCTGTGTCTTTCTGATTATAGTTTTGTCCCTGGACTGGGCTTGTGACCCGAGTGAGCTCTTGGTTTTAACAATGTCCTTGAGAGCGCCTAGTTCTAGTTCGGCCTGGGGTGCTCCTGGTGCCTTCTGGCTATGAAAGCATCTCTCAGTGGATTCTGGAAATGCCTTCACCCCTCAGAGCCTCCTGCCTGTGTGTCCCTTGGGGGCTACTGGCATCTACTAGGAGCCTGGGTTGGGATGGTCTGTCCACAGGTCCTCTGGATTCGAAATCCCTACAGCCTCCTGGCTCAGTGTTTCCTTCAGGCAGGCTCTGACAGTTTCTCTGAAGTTCCTGGTGATGCTAAAGAGTTTGCTGACTAGAACTGTGTCTGAGAGAGTTCTTTGTATCCAACCATATCCCCAAGAATCTAGGCTTCTGTGTTGTTACTAATAAGGGGAGCTAGCTAGGATTATACCCCTAATTTGTACCCTTAGATGTTCTGACTTTGAATGCAACTCAAGAAATCAAAAGGACTGAGTGTTAAGGTGGGATTTTTTTTGTTTTTGTAAATCATATTATTTATTTTATTTTAAAGTAACCATTCGATATAAGTACTTTTATCTCATATATAAATGAAAGAATTGAGACATTTTTAAACGTTTTATCCAAAGTCATAGAATTAGCCAGCAGCGCACTCAGGATTTGCACTAAGGTTTCCTGACTTATTTAAGTCAGGAAATGCCCCTGATCATTGGTCACACATTGGTAAATATATAGAGAGCTGTGTGCCATCAGTTTGGTATATGGAGCTGGAGGTGCTCCAGTGGAGGACCAGTGATGTGGCAACATGAGCCACTGACTTCTGAGGGGGAAGGAATCCCTTCTGCCTTCTGGGTGGGGAGTGAAGGACCCATCAGTACAGTGATTTCCATGGGACAAAAAGAAAAACAAAACAGTTAGGCTATAGTGCAACATAATGTTTGCCTAAAAATCATTGCACTGTTCAAAATTACACAATAAAAGCTTCCAGGTTCATGGAAAAGTGGGGCAGGGTCACACCTTTCATTAGTGACAGACCCAAAAGAGAGGAACCTAGTAAAAATGGCAGCACAGCTATACTTACACATGTTGATCTGTATACACGTGTACAATCGTACAACTGTAATACAAATGGCACATTGCCTTGAAACGTCCTGAAGTTTGCTTGTGGAAGTGGGTATCAGAAAGGCCGCAGTCCATGAGCTACTGGAAGGTGGTGGAGGAGGACTGTCTGAAAGTGGTGGTAAGTTGATCCACGTGTGGATCAACATGGCTTGTAACACACACAGTGAACAGAGGGAGCAGAGAGATATTAGAGGCAGGCGCGCCTGGTGGGTTCCTATGTGGCTCAGTCCAGCTAAGTGCAGTTTTCTGCTCTACTACTGTTTCTGTGTGCAACATCACACATGGCCAATGTGAAATTCCTGTTATACTCACATTGTTCCCTAATGTGTCAATCATGTTGGGGAACATTTGCATTTTGGAAACAAGTGTTATAGCAGAATTGACTGTAGCCACTTTAGTGCCTCTTGGTCCCCTGGAGAAGGGTATTTCGACCCACTCCAGTACTCTTGCCTGAAAAATCCCATGGACAGAGGAGCCTGGCAGGCTACAGTCCATGGGGCTGCAAAGAGTCCAGCGTGACTGAAACGGCCGAGCAGCAACAGCAGTGCCTCTTGGTAGCGTGTAACCCAAAGTTGGTGAGTATTTCTATTGCTTGGGAATATTCCTTTGAGTGTTATTGAACCACCGTGATGAGTGGAGACACCATTTTCTTGATTGGTTTCAAAAACCAATCGTTGGTAGAATTCCTCATTGAAACCTGATTATAAAACTTACTACTTTAAAAAGACATAAGGATATGTTATTAAACCAGGTAATGCCTTATCTCAGCTTTGCAATTCAGTATTCATCCATAAAAATAATTGATTGGATCCTGCCAATGAGACTTTTTTCTTTCTACAGGGTTTCCAGGGGTTTTGATCTTTATAAATGATATTCAGAGTACTTTAGCAGCCCCCGTGGACTTATTTGCTGATGATCATATAATACATTTTGAAATTCAATTGCAAGATGATCATCTCAATAAAAATTTACAATCTATTGCAAACTGTTGCCACGGCTGTGTAATGGATTTTACATGTTGAAAACACAATTGTCTGACTATCACTATAAAAATTATGAGTTGAAAACGCTGTTTGTGGTTTTATATTTCAAAAATGTTGGTGTTTAAGTAAGTTATGCCTTAAAATCTTGAATAACCCACATTTTACAAAATGTGTCATCAAAAAGGTAATCTTCTTTTCCACAATTGCTGCTGATAGTAGAATGTTCTTTGCCTCATAATTAATTTTTAAAAGAATTCTAGGGCTGATAGCCATTTGTAGAGACTGCTGATTGAGGTTGGTAGTCTGAGTTTTTTCCTCCCTTTCTCTCTTCTATTATTAATCACACTGGAAATGTACTCATTATTTTACAAAACAGAAAATGAGAGAGTGTGGAGTGTGGAAGGTATAATTTCTACCCAGAGGAATTTACAGACTGGGTTAAGATTCCAACAAAACAGCAAAAAGAGTAAAACATAAAATCTGCTATTGAAATAGTGAACTTTGTGGAGAAAAACAAGTTTGATGTGGGAAGAGCAATGCTGTTACATTGATCTAGAGTAGTGGTTTTCAAAGTTTTGTCCCTGGACCCACATCATTGTCATCGCTAAGGGACTTGTTAGGAATGCAAATTCTCAGGCCGTGTCCCCTGACCTAGTGAATCAGAAATTCTGGGGGTGGAGCCCAGAAATCTGTGCTGCAGGGAGCTCTTTGAGTGATGCTGTTGCACACCCACATTTAAGAACCACTGATATAGTGACACACCCAGATACCACTTTGGTAGTACAGCCATCCTATTGTTTGATCCTTGAGGCAGTTCTCAGAGGTCAATGGAAAAATACTGGGGCACAGAATCATCAGACAAAACTCACAGATCAGTTATGTTCTTATAGCTAAATCTCTTGACCTAAGGAACTGCCTGTCACATGGTTTGTTGGAGGTTCCTCTACACATGTGGGTGAGACTGAGTAATAAAGAGACTGGTAACTATGGAGACAAGCTGAGAATGAATGGCCACCATGCACAGCCGCTATAGTCTTGCTCATCACACGTCTACTGAGTCCCTTCCATGTGCCAAACTCAGGGCTAGGTACTGGTGGCAGCGGCTTGCAACTGGAAGCCACAAGCTCAGGTATCCAGAAGATGCCAGGGACTCAATTCAGCAAGGGCAGGTAGTAGTGTATTCTGGTTCTGCCAGGTTTTCCAGGTCACTAGGTAGATTCTTGGAGGCACTGGGAACAGGTTCCAATTCTTAAGGCAAGAGTTAGCCATTAAACTGGAGCCTGGATAGATTTATCATACAGGAATCTGGGAACGGGAGGATAAGAGAAGACAGCCACAGATGACACTCCAAGGCTCAAATGCCTGGGAAATGAGTGATGGAGCTGTTTTCTGAGGTGGAAAGCACAAAAGATGATTTAGGGTCAAGAAAGCCAGCCCAGGTTTGGCTATGTTGTGTTTGAGGTGAAGCTGTAAGCAGGCAATGACAGATGTTAGTCTGGAGCTCAGAGAGACCAGCAGGTTCCCTCTTCTTCTTCCATGAGAACTACCTGATTGCACCTGGATTTCAAAGGCAAAAGGACTTCTTTGTACCAATGAAAGCAATTTAAGTCTCTTTCTTCATGCTATTCTCTTGAGATGCCTCATTCATTTATTTTTCAAGTCGTCATTTTGTTCCTTCTGCTCAGTTTACTCATTCACCATCTTTTCTGAGATACAGGCCTGGAGAGCAAAGATGATAATATACATCAAAGTGCTCTGAAAAGCTCAAAATGCTCATCAGATGCCTGTAATGAAACAAGTCATTATTTTTGGCTATTATTTTTATGGGTGTTATGATTATGAATCATTTATGGGTGTTATGATTATGAATCATGATATCAAAACAGGAAGCCTTACTTGTCCACTTCTCTGGGTTGACTGGTGTTTGGGAGGCTGGGTCATCCCCCGTGATGTTGTGTTTCATCATCCCATGGGAAATATCATTTTGGAACATGATGATCATGTTGTAGCCTGGACTCTTGGAGGTTTTCTGGTCTAGAATAGCAGGTGGTTTTCTCTGGCACATCCACAACAGCAGATAACCAGTAATAGGAGTTGGGCCCCAGAAGGGCTCTCTCTTGTCCATATCAGCCTCATCTTGAATACCATCTCTGATGAGATGCTCATGTTCTCCCATGGAAGACCAGGCTACTGCTGGGAATCCGGGGTAGTTACTATTAGTCAGTACCCAGTGTTAGCCTGGTTATTGTTAAACTCTGGATGGGATCCTGTACTGGAGCAGAGAGCATCCATTAGGTTGAAAGAGTAGGGACAGTAGGCAGGCTGTTCTCATCAACAGTCTTGAGTGCTCA